ATCAAACAATCTTGGTTATGGATGTGATCCTATTAATGCGTATTTTGTGTTTCATTGTAATATCTTTGTTTTTCAGAATAAATTTTTCCCAAAAAAAAATTCACACCGTCACGATCCATTAATACGACACATACACGATATTACATTAGAGAATTTGAATATTTTTTAAATTACTCGTTTCATAAACGAATGGACCCCATACGACATAATTAATAAATGAATCGGTTGTGGGTGAAGTCAATAAAAAAAATACGCGACACACATAATTCGTTTATATACCGATTATACACAACACGAATCAGATATGACACGATTTGTTAGGCATGAATTAGCAAATGAATTAAGTATGAGTTAAGTACTTTTTAACACGAAATCCACTTTCAATTTGGTCGAATGAAATTCAATGTTTAGATCAAGATATTATCTATCTATCACTAATATAGACAAGGGAATTCAAATTTTGAAAAATTACAATTAAATTTTCACCATTCTATTATTTTCTTATCTTATCAATCAATATAAATCTATATTCAAATCACACTAATTTTTTGACACATTCGAATATGTTTTGGACACGTTCGAATAAGTTTTGGACCTACTCTCCATTCTAATACTCTAACCGAGAATAATTAATATTTGTCAAATATGTTCCTACCTAATGGAATGCTATAAATGACAAAGATATTGTTATGAAAAAAAATGATTTTTCTTGAATAAAAGTAATTTAATTACTGTCCAACAGTAACATTCATCAACCTCCATTTCAAATACAAGATTGGTATTAAAACCAGGGATTCAAGAATCAAAATTTTTTTTTCCTTCTACCAAAACGGGTCAAAATGTTTATGTTTTTCATAAAAACTGAAAAATCATTGATTAAATTATCAAAACACCTATATTTCGAAAAGAGTAATTTTTTAGATTGTCCTACCTTATATTTTTTACCAATCAAAGCATGATATGTGTAATACATATATATATATATATATATATATATATATATATATATTATTTTACTTTACTTATTATTTTCTATATCAGAGATCACAAATAAACCAACATAAGATCAATGAATAAAATTAATTTTTTTGGCATGGTATAACAAAATAGGTTTATGTCTATGTCAAGTGTACTAAACGAGTCTACCTTCCGAAAAAAAAGTGTACTAAACGAGTCTAAAGAGCGGTTCAATAAAAATAAAAAAGTTTAAAGCCGGTGACCAAGTCTAATCAATTCGGATTTTGAATTTTTTTTTGAAATATTGTAATTAATTTTTCCGCCCACCATCTTCACTAACTTCTTTCTCAATTTATTACTAATTAATTTCATGAGAGTGAGGTTTTGATTCACGTTTTTTCATGTAAAAATGTTTTTATAAAACATGATTTCAATAAATAATCTTAAACACGTACTTTTTAAAAATGTGAGTTTAAATCACGCTTTTATTAAAACTATAATAGATTAAAAAATAAGTTAAAAATCACAATACAAGTGCTATAAAGTTATAGAACATCCATTATTCTATAAGAACTCTTCAATTTCCCCCACAAAATCCCTAGACCAAAAAACTCAAAAACCATTTAAAACTTAGTTTTTCTTCGTTCAACTAAAAAAGCGGTTTCAAAACATTGGAGGGATAAATTATTTTGTTTTAGTCATAAAGTGTTAACCCCAATAATATAAAAACTTAAGTTTTAATATCCCCGCCCTGCTACATTAAAAAGGGAAAGGATTAATGGTCAATTAAACTCATCTTATCGAGTTTATTTTTATTTTACATTTCTTTTCTTCGGCATTTTTTACTTAATATGTACAATAAAAACTAGTAATTTATGACAACCACGAGAATAATTCAGCCAAGGAAATTATTGTCATCGTTGAAATTTAGGTAAGAGATTAGGCAAAACTATACTTTATTTGGTCAGTTATGTTACAAATCAGGAATAAAAGGATGCATATGATATGAACTTTGAGCATTATAACAAGTGCAAGTGTTTTTAAAAGCCGTCAATATCAGCTTGCAATTACTATTAAGTTACATAGACTAAAGAGCCATGCATGGATCTATTTATTGACCCATTTTGTAGGTGGAGAATAAAGAAGACAACCTCGGTCCCTTTCAAAAGTATGCGACTTAATATTAATTGGAAAAATTTTAGTCACGTCCTCTTTAATTTATCATATCTTTAAAGATACCCCCTCTAATTTTTGAATCTTTATTGACATCTCTATTAGATTAAAAACCTTAACTAGAATATAATTTTACTAAGTTATCCATGATATAATTTAAGAAAAACTCCATTCACACCTCTTCTAAATAGACATATTTTTAATGAGATTCTCTCTATTTTATAATTTTTTTTACGTATTAAAAATTTGACCGATTAAAATTCAATTCGAATCGAATAAAACTCGTTTTTAATCAGCTTGAATCAAATTTTAATCAACTTGTATTAAATTTTAATCGACCTTAATTTTGATACGTAAAAAAATATAAAATTTTATTGACTTAAATTTTAATACGTAAATAATAAATTTTAATCAACTTGAATCGAATTTTAATTAGCACAAATTTTAATAAGTAAAAAATATAAATTTTAATTGACTCAAACCGAATTTTAATCGACGCTAATAGCTCAGGTTGAGATCAAATCGACTCGAATTTTAATACGTTTTAAAAAAATAATTTTAATACGTAAAAAAATAAAATTTAATCAACTTGAATTTTAATATGTAAAAATTAAATTTTAATCGGTTTGAATTTTAATTGAATTTTATGTAAAAAAAATTGTTTGGAGTTTATATAGGGGCAATTTTTATATTTTAGATAATTTTTTTTATTAAAAATGATGGTTTAATGATAGAGGGTGCTTGTAATCGTTAAATATAAACTAAAAGAAGTGTTAATGATGTTTTGAATAATAGAGGAGGTGTCGTTGAATATATAATAAACAAGAGTAGGTGCGACTAAAATTTTCACAATATTATTTGATGTACTCATAATGTGTGGCAGAAGAAAACAGACTAGATGAATATATATATAGTTTAATAGCTAGGTGTGTCTAAATGAGCGCACTTCAATTAATATTCTTTTCATTTTGATCAAAGGCAGACAATTCACGTTTACATTAATATTTCGTTTGATAGAAATGAGAGAAAGTAAGAAGGATGGAAAATGATAGGGATACACTTTCTATCCTTGAATGATAGAATGTAGGAATAATACGCATTTTTTCTTTTGTGTTTGGTTGAATGGATGAAAAATAAAAATAATTAATTTTAAATTTTTTTTTTTTTGTGTTTACTATACTAAGGGGTGACAATCTAGTTGTTTCGTGTTAGATTCGTGTTGAATCATAAAATTATGAAGTTTTTATATTTCTTGTTTACGTGTCAGGTCATTTTCAAGTTCGTGTCAAATTATAATTAAATTTGTGTCATAAAATTCGTGTCGAGTTCAAGTCATGTTATCGTATTGAGTCGAAAAATTTCACTCCTAGTGAAGATGAAAAAATTATTTTTTATTTAAAATTTTTATTTTAAAATTTATTTTAATTTATTTATATATTTATATCCTTTCATTTTTCTATCATACAAAACGAAGCATAAAATATTCATGAAAAATAAATTTCTCAAAATCTGGTCTCAAGAGATTGCTAAAATTTGAACTTAGAACATCTGATTTTATAATTTATCCTTATTACCACTTGAACTACTCTTTAAAATTGCTAAATAAATGTGCTAAAAAAAAAAGTTACTAAATGAACATGTATGCACTATCCATTGAAATGTAGGATGTAAACTAATGTTATAAATAGTTGGTGACGGGTTAAGTCGTGTAAGTTGTATTAAATAAAAAATTTGGTAACTCATATTTGAGTTATGTAAAATCATGTACAATCGAGCTTTTATAGAGTTTGGCTCATGTCAGGTGTATGTCACGTTTAACCGACTTTATGTCTTAGTTAACCAAGCCCGTGTCATCCTCTTGTGATATTTGTTTTGCCTAGTCCACTAGTTTATATGCAAAGACAAAATTCATATGAATCAAAGTAATATGAATGGAATATTTTATAAATTTAATTAATAAAAATAATATTTTAAGGATTAAATTAATAAAAAAAATATATTTTACAAATTAAAAGTGTTATTAACTCTAATTTTACTTCCTTGTCCATGCCCGAGTCTCACCCGAAACCGAGCCCGCTTGTCTAGCTCCAAGACTCCGATCTCTATAAAACGCACCTGTATTGTGTTCGATTTTGCTCTTACCATCTCTCTCTGTGTCTCTGTCACTCTCACACATACACACTGCTCTCAGTCTCATAGTACCACGAGCAGAGAGGTAAACCATCCTAATCTCAGACTTCAATTTTTGATGATTTTCACAGTAGCAGTTCGTTTTCCGGATTTTGTTTTGTGAAAATTCTCTGCATTTCTACAGATAATTCTGTAGCAATATTGACACATTCAAATTCGTGTTTTTTGTGATCTAAAATTTATGTTTCAGCTACTAAATTAGATCTAAAATCTATGTTTCAGCTAAACATGATTGTAGTTTTTTATCGTTCGGTAGATTTTTTTGAACTTGTTTATGATCTATTCATATTCCTAAGTTGTAGTTTTCTCCGATTATATGTGCATGATTTCTTCTTTCTTCACTCTGTTGATTTTCCGTTTGGTTCTCGGGAAAAATGAAAAGAAAATGATTATTTTTGGATATTATCGCATGTTATACACTTTGGTTTATTATTTTCTTCTTTTGGAAAGCTAGACGGAAGGTTAGTGAAGAAAATCAAGTTAAGACGGTGAAATTGAAGATACTCCATGCTTTTGCTGTGAATTATAAAATAAACACAAGTTCTCTCTAATTATAGGGTCACGCATCAGAGCTCAAATTCCAGCGGTTATGTGCTCTGTTTTGTTATCCTTTTTCCAACCACATATCTAATCATATTTCGAATGCAAACAGATAGCCATTTAAGCATATCCGTACCAGCATGGCACTGGCGGCAACAGAGCGTTTAGATTCGATAAAGCCTAGAGGTATCATACATCTTTCCTTCCCCTAACATTTATGTTATTACATTAATCTAAACTTTTTTTTTGTTCGGAAAGTACATTAATCTAAACTTTGTAATATATAGTTTATCTGGTGAGGTGACAATGGACCAATCATTGATGTCACATTACCATGTGCCTAGGAAGTACGGATATAGATACAACATGACAAATGCAAAATTGCAAAAAGTAGGATATATATATATATATATTATATTATGATATTACTACAATACTTGGGGTATGAGGGATTAAGAGATAGAACACTTCTCACATTAAAAATAATTTATTTTATTGGCATAGAGACGGCTTAATAGGGTTTTGAATTCAATGTTCTATGTATTCTAAACTTATACTTGGCATTTAATTACAATAGCTTCATTGAATTTGATATAAGACATAAAAACTCATTATTCTGGCCAAACAAATTGTAAATAATTGATAAATGTTGTGTTGGACATATGTGATGCACATTCAAATGAACATCTTGGAATAAGAAATCTCTATTTTTATGATTCATGTTTTCTCCGTAACCTGGGGTGGAGTCAGAGTTTTTTTTGTGGAGGCAACCATCAAGTTAGAGAGAACGACTATACAAAAATTATCAAAATTCGTTGTATTTAGTGAACATAATTATTTCTCATAATTTTATTCTCTATAAAAAATATTCCTAATCTAACACCTTTTATAGAAGAATTATTCATATTATTTTTTTTACTTTCAAAAATTTCACATATAAATACACATCAAAAAGTGATAGGATTTGACTAAAAAAAATTAATATAATTTTTTTTGGTATAAAGTACTAGAATAAATACAGTTTTCATAGAGAAAGCTATTTTGACATATTATTTTGCGAGTGAGCTTCTCAATGATAAGATTTTGACTCATTCAAATGTCAATTTACCTTAAAAAGGTGAAAACCTTATTTTGAATCTAATATAGTTATTTAACTAATTTCATTTTTATAATCTATATTCAAATCCATTAAATATTATGAATTTTCTCAAAAATTCAATCTAATATATATATGTTTATCGCATTGTAATTTTAATTCAATTTCATCACTTAGTTTCATCAAATGTTGCCATATACATATTTGTGTATTCGTATCAAATTGAATCAAATCATAATTAGATCAAATTTTTTTATGCCCAAATCTAAAATCTTAGAATATGATGTAGTATATTTGAACTTGAATAATTGGTTAAAAATGTTAATCTAGGTCTTAGTAATCGAATTTGGAAAATGATTGATTTGGTAAGTTAAACGAGTCAGTGCAGAACGAATAGAGATAACCAAAGACTAAAAAAAAAATTGTGAGATTAAGTCTGTATGAGCGAACCTTGAGTCTAAGTTTTTAGTTCACTTAAAAAAAATGAGTGGGGGCAAGTTATTAAAAAAATTAATTTTTATTACAATTTTAGACTAACCCTAAAAGTTTTCAAAATTTCAGTGGGGGCAGTTACCCACACTACCCCCACCCTGCCTCCGTCCCAGTCCGTAACTCATCTCACTAAATATTAGAAGAATGTATCTACTGTTGAGATATGTGTATTTGACAAGTATTTAACAATTATAAATATTTTTATTAATTATTCGATACGTATCAGATACGAATGTCACTCCGATTGAAGTATTTGTGCTTCATAGCTATGTGCTATGGGTGATTTATACAAGTTGTGTTAGTTTCCAATGGATAACCTTTCAAGTATTAGTAATGTGCATTGCTAAGGCATTCAAGTTGTAAAATGAAGAGGTCATGACCAGGTGTATCAATTACCTAACAAATCTATTCATCATGTGTGGATGGGCTCACTCAAAAAATCATTTATTTATTATTTAATTGTGATCAAGTTCTTTATGTCAGTGACCTTGTAATGTGTTTACATTTTTTTTTAAGGGTGGGGAATTTGTTTTTGTGCTTAACAGATATTCATTTTGATTTGACATTTGACTATTAGATAGGGGTATTGACCAAGCTGTGTTGTGTCATTTCAAGTTTGTCAAATCCACATCGTGTTATTTTAGCTTTATGTTGTGTATTGTGTTATTTTTGTGTAATCCATGAATCAGAATCGTAGTCAAATCCACCACACATAGGTCCACATAAATAAATAATATATTTGATTCACGTCCTAGAAAAATTAAGAAAAAAACCATTTAATTATATACAACTCAATAAAATAATAGATCAAGAAATGAAAACAAAAAAAGTCAAGGCATTTCCTTTTACTTTACCAGTGAAGCGAGTTTATCGTGTCAAAATTGGGTTATTTGTGATTGACATTAATCCGGCTCATTCATTATTCATGTTGATTGATCGTGTTATTTATAAGTTTGTGTCGTTTTAATGTGCTTTGTCTAAAATTGCTGCACCTATTATTAGAAGATGTATGGACCTTTAGAGTTCTAAATGTAGTAGTGCACAAAAAATCAGATGGTTGGTCATCAGTTAAACTTTCTTGGTTCAATTTGAACAGATGTTTGCATTGTTGGTGTTGCACGTACACCAATGGGTGGCTTTCTAGGCTCTCTTTCATCCTTATCAGCCACCAAGCTTGGATCTATAGGAATTGAAAGTAAGATCACAACCTTGTCTCTTATGTGTACTCTAATGCACTAGTCGTTGCATCACAATTTTCTTTTAACCTGTATCAGAACTTCTGTTTATTGTCATCTTGAAGGTGCTCTTAAAAGGGCAAATGTTGATCCATCACTTGTACAAGAAGTTATCTTTGGAAATGTTCTCAGTGCAAATTTAGGGCAGGCTCCTGCAAGACAAGCAGCATTAGGTGCAGGAATACCAAATACAGTTGTTTGTACTACCGTCAATAAAGTTTGTGCCTCAGGAATGAAAGGTGTGGATTCTATCATTGAAAGCACTAACTTCCTTTTCTGAGTAAAGCAAAAATCCTATTGAGGTGTAATATCATACACTTCGATTTGGTCATTGCAGCAACCATGCTTGCAGCACAGAGTATCCAGTTGGGAATCAATGATTTTGTTGTCGCTGGTGGCATGGAAAGCGTGTCTAATGTCCCTAAATACCTGGCGGAAGCAAGGTTGGTGCTCCCCTGGGATTCATGAGAAATTATGTTCATCACTAGCAGTCAATCTCGATTTGAGCAATCTACCCCTTAACGAAAAAAATCTTAATTTGAGCTATATACTGGCCACTTTTTTGTGGCTTTCAGTGATATTAATCATCTTGGCCATCAAAATAACTTTTGGTGCCCGCATAATTATCAAAACTCTTCCGGGCTACGTGTCGCCTCCACAATCAGATTCCTGCTTACTTCTTATCTACCCAACTTATAACCAAAAGTTCCTTTAAGCATAGTTGTCTTGCATGATGCTACCAAAGCCTGCCATTTGTTTAAAGCGTGTAGTTGAAAGTAAATCTTATGACAAATGGATAATTAAGAGGCTGGTGGGAAACAAGGACTGAGCCGGCCATATTTATATGTTTGTACACCTGGCTAAAATGGAGGAACCAGCTTAAAGATGGGTTTTGTTAACCTAAATCACTCAAATATTAAACACATGCTGAAATGTGTCGACAGTTGACTCCTTGGATTATTGTTCAACATTGCTAAGTTCCCCTAATTTTGTCATCAATATTATGAATATGAAGTGGCATAGCAAATGTCACATGCTAGTGCTTGTACAAAACTGTTGAATGGATAAGATAATGTTATTAAGCTTTATGGACTTTGTCAATCATCATGAAACGCAATCTATGCGACATGCTGCTGCTTATCTTTCTATTTGATTGACTTCTTGTCTACCATACCATTCTTTATCTGTCAGTCTTATGCATGAAGTTCTGTTAAACCTGCCATTTTGTAGTCATAACATAATGCTGTAGAACTGATCTTTTTGCTACCTTGAATCTATACTCAAATCACAGGAAGGGATCTCGACTTGGACATGATACTCTTGTTGATGGAATGTTGAAAGATGGGTTGTGGGACGTTTATAATGATTATGGCATGGGAGTTTGTGCTGAACTCTGTACTGAACATCATGGAATAACGAGAGAGGATCAGGTATGTTACCAATCCGCTTGTTGATTTCCAAAAAATAAATCACCAAACTTTGACTGAGCTATCAGTTGTATGTTTCACTACCTATTTTTTCCATTTTGGTTCACTTTCATCCAGAGTTGTTGGTTCTATTGTTCTCAAAGTTTCCATTTAAAGAAATTATGCTTGAGACCTGAATTATGTTGATTTCTATTCACTCCATCCTCTTCTGCTTTTTTTTTTTTTTAAAAAAAAAAAAGGTGATTTGCATTTGAACATAATTTGATCTCTTCAAAGAGTTTAAAAGAATCATTTTTGCAAAAAAATTAGTCAGCATTTTTTTTTATTAGTGTTAAGAGTATTAGGGTAGTATGTGTAAATTGTTAATAGTGTCAGGGTATTATGTGTAATTCTTATTATTGTGAGTTAATTATAAATACAAGTGATGTATGAGAGTTAGGTTTAGTTTTTAACTTCTCTCTGTTTCTCTTTAATATTGTGTTAATCCTCTAAACTTAACATGATATCAGAGCAAGTTTAATCCTAAATATATATATATATATATATATATATATATTTTTTAATAAATTAACCATACCGGTGGTGGTGATACAGTTGTGGTGGTTGATTCGTTGGTGGTATTGTCACTAGTGGTGGTGGCGTTGTACTGGTGACCATCGTTTGTCGTCGTTGTTGGTGGTGTGGTACTGTTGGTCATCGTCTACCCTTGTTTGGTGTTCGCCGTGGTGGTGTAGCGGTGGTGGTATAGTGTGATTTCTCCGTTGTGTTGTAGCGCCGTTGTGGTGTCCATTTTGGTGGTCTGTCGTTCAGTGTGGCGGTCGAGGTGCAGTCGAAGTGGTGGTGTGATGGTGTGGTGGCGTGATCGATCGTGGTGGTGGTGTGGCTGTGGTGGTCGTAGTGCTGTCTGGCGTCGTCAAAGACCAGAGGGTTCCAAGGGAACCCTATTCAGTGAAGAAGAAGGAGCCAGGGTCGGGTCTAGATCAAATCCAAACCAAAACCAGGTCTTAAAGTGGTCCAACCCAAGACTAGGTTTTAAAGTGGTCCAGCCTAAGACCCGGTCCGGTTCAGCGGTCCAGCAGGTTCAGCAGACAGACTCGGTCCAGCCCAAAACCCGGTCCGGTTCAGTGGTCCAGCAGGTTCAGAGGCCCGGTTCAGACCCGATTCTCCTTCATCTGGTCCAGTTCAGACCCAGTTCGCACCGGTTTAGTAGTACAACACTTATTTTCTGTCCGGTTCAAACTTTCAGCAGGTTTTCTTGGACTGGTTCAGGCCGGTTCAATAAGTTTTAGATCGGTTCAGGCCCAGTTCAGTAAGTTTTAGACCGGTTCAAGCCCGGTTCAGTCCGTTTTAGACCGGTTCAGGCCGGTTCCACCTGTTTTTTTTGTCTCCGGTTCAGTGATCCCGTGGACTTCTTTGGTCTGGTTCAGCGGTTCAGTGGACTCCTTTGGTTTGGTTCAGCAGTGCAGTCGGTGATTCTTGTCCTGTTTAGTGATCTAGTGCTTTTCGTTTTGCTATTTGTTGCACTGTTATGGAACCCAAGTAAGACACTGGATTGGTTACTATTACTCGAGAGGAGTATGACCAGTTCATATCCCAGCAACCATGGTTCAAGGTATCGGCCGAGTCGTATCCGTCTCTGCCATGCCCGATATGATAACGATACCCGCAACGAAAAAATTCCAAATCGAACCTAAATCAGTTTCGTCTCGGCCAAAATAGGTACAACTCGGGCAAGACAGTGATTCATCACCGATTCGAAATAATTCATTCCAACAAAATCAACTACGAGCAAACAAGCTTTCAAAACACAGACCAACGGAGAAAAAATGCCAAAAAAAGGCACGAGAGATGTGATAGAAGATTAACCCTAAATTAGCCCTTTTCCCTTTTTCTCCATGATATAAAAAGATGAAGAATTAGAAATTACATACATGCCTGTACAACATCCAGACCAAAAGCCTTTGTAGTTGTTGTTTTTTCACTTCCTCTTTCTTTTTCTCTTCATCTTCATTGTAGATGCAAAAGCCCTAGGAGATGGAGTAGGAGTAGGAGTAGGAGTAGGAGTAGGAGTAGCAGTAGCAGTAGCAGTAGCGGCAGGCGCTGCTACCGAACGATGTAGCAACCCTCAAGAAACCAGATCCAGACACTTCCCCACCTCTCTCTCGCGGTCGCTGGTGTTGCTCGTCGTCCCCCATCGTCTCTGTTCTCTCTCTCTCTCGCGATCGGCAATGTCTGAAAGTTGAAAAAATAGCATTTGGGTCAAAATATGTGAGGCTTAGGACTTTTTTAGGAATGAGATCCTAAAATTTATTCCCCCCCTTTTCTTTTTGTTTTTTCGGTTTGAGTCTAATTTTTTTAATTATATAATTTTTAGTATTTATCATATAATCTAATTAGAACTTAACTTCTTAAGTTTGTTTTTGTATATGTATTGATGATTTAATAATTAAATATATATAATGGAGAAAATACATATAATTTCTAATTAGATACACAATAAATAATTAAATATAGAATTTTTTTATAAATAGATTTTCATTTTTAAAGCTATTAAGTTAACCATATATATAAACTTATATTTTTTTATAATTTTTAAAAATTACAAATTAAATTATATTAACCTTGAATATAGATGATAATAAATATTTTTCGGTAGCATCCTTATTATTCTTTTTTGCAATGATTAATGTGTTAAATAATGTCTTTTAGGGATATGATGCATTGATGATGATGTTTATATTTATTATAATTTTTTTTTAATTTTTTTGAGCCTTCTATATAGTGTTTTGGGCGTATCGGCCTATACCGCGCCGCGCCGCAACGCCGCGACTGATGTGTCTCAGTGGCCCCCGAGTCAAGGACCGATATCGCGACCTTGAACCATACCAGCAACAGGTTGTTCCCTTTCCCTCCACTGCTATTTTTGTCCAGTCAGGTATTGCTTCTACTTGTTTATTGACCTCCAATCGCAGTCCCTGGATCATAGACACTGGCGCTTCTGATCACATGACTGGTGCGTCTGATGTTTTTTCTACTTATCAGTCTGCTACCTCCACACGTAATGTTACTCTTGCTAATGACACTTGTTCTAAAGTTTCAGGTTTGGGGACTACTAACTTGAGTCCTGATATGTCCTTATCTTCCGTGTTATTTGTTCCTCAGTTTCCTTTTAGTTTACTTTCCATTAACAAGTTTACTCGTTCTCTCAATTGTTCTGTAACTTTTTATCCTTCTTATTGTGTATTTCAGGATCTTAAGATGAAGAGGAAGATTGGTACAGGACATGAAGCTGGTGGCCTATATTACTTTGATTTTGATTCACCTACTCGGGCTCTACAGACCTCGTTGTCTCCTTTTCAGTGGCATTGTTGTCTTGGACATCCCTCCCTCCAGAATTTGAAGCGTCAGGTTCCCACTCTTAGTTTTGTGCCGTCTTTGTTGTGAAGCTTGTCAACTTAGTAAGCATCACCGTGTGTCATTTCAGTCTCGAGTCAATAATCATGTGTCTAGTCCATTTGAGTTGGTACATTCTGATGTATGGGGTCCAATAAAGAATATTTTCTCTAATAAATATCCTTATTTTGTGTCATTTGTGGATGACTATTCTCATGTAACTTGGTTGTTTCTGATGAAAGCTCGGTCTGAATTATTCTCTATATTACGTTTCGTAAGGAAATAAAAACTCAATATGGGTGTCGTATCAGTATTTTACGTTATGATAATATTCGGGAATATGAATTTGATCATTTTTCAGCTTATCTTAGTAAAACTGACATTATTCATCAGACTTCTTGTGCTTACACCTCTCCATAAAATGGTGTTGCTGAACGGAAGAACCGTCATTTGTTGGAAGTCACTCGTGCCCTGTTATTTCAGATGAATATTTTCCGATATTTTTGGAGTGATGTTGTTCTTACTGCTTGTCATCTTATTGATCGTATGTCATCCTCTATGTTAAATGAAAAAAGTCCATATTCTGTCATTTTTCCTGGTAAGCCCTAATTTTTTCTAACTCTTAAAATTTTTGGATGTGTCTGTTATGTTCACAATTTGGGTTCTGGGTTTGACAAACTTGACCCTCGAGCTACCTAATGTGTATTTCTTGGTTATTCCCGCATGCAGAAGGGGTATCGTTGTTACAGTCCTTTTCTGCACCGATACTTTACTAGTGCTGATGTCACGTTTGAAGAATCTGTTCCATACTTTGCAGCACCTTCTCAGCCTTTGGATCTGAACTTTGGATCATATCCTGTACCACCATCTCTTTCTTCATCTTCAGACATTTTACTGTCCACTGTGTTACGATCTACTTTACCTCTCCATGTCTACTCTCGCCGTTCTCGCCCATCGATTGAGATGCCCGTACCGTCTTCCTTGCCGCCTTCTGATCCTGGTACATCAGGTAATTTAGACTCTTTACCTATTGCTCTTCGCAAAGTTCATGTGTTACTAATCATCCCATTTCTCATTTTGTTTCATATGATGTCTTGTCTCTTGTCCTCTCCTGTTTTATTTTCTAATTATCTGCTATATCTCTTCCTAAGCATTTACAGGATGCCTTATCTGATTCGGGTTGGAGGAAAGCTATGGAGGAGGAGATGGATGCTTTACATCATAATGGGACTTGGGATTTCGTTCCTTTACCCTCTGGTAAACAAACTGTTAGCTGTCGTTGGGTGTATACTCTTAAATTTCATCTAAATGGTTCTGTGGAGTGTCTCAAAGCCCGACTTGTTGCAAAGGACTTTACTCAGACTTATGGTGTTGATTATGAGGAGACTTTTTCTCCTGTTGCCAAAATTTTCTCTGTTCGTATCTTGATCTCTTTGGCTGCTAATCTTGATTGGTCCTTGTTTCAATTAGACATCAAGAATGCCTTCCTACATGGTGACTTGGTTGAAGAGGTATACATGGAGCAGCCACCTGAGTTTACTGCTCAGGGAGAGTATGGTAAGAGTACATGTCGGTTAAAGAAATCTTTGTATGGTGAAGCAGCCACCTAGGGCATGATTTGGTAAGTTTTCAGA